CCCCCTTGCTTTCGCGAAAGCGGAGGACAATAAGTAGGGGGTGCCTTGTATATACCCCTGGTTCAAATAATGGTTATTTGAAAATATTTAGATTAAGAGGAAAGATTAAGAGGAAATATTTTACTAGGAAATATTTTACTATATTATACTTTCATGTAAATTACTTGAATCTGATTCGTCGAGAAACATTTGATAAAAATACTACTACCCGCTGAATAATGAAGCCACGTCCTCCTGCGTAGGAACAGTCAACATTTCTTGACGACGGGTGATATTCCACAAAATAGGGACTACGCAGAATTTATGCGCGCACGGTTCACTGCTATATGTATTTGTATGAAATATTCAGTATAATATAATAATAATAGCCGATGTAGTTGAGTGTAACATTGAAAATTTTCACCCCTCGAAAACCATTGTCAACCGAGGCGCAGCCGTCGATGGTTTTCGAGGGGTGAAAATTTTCAATGTTACACTCAACTACATGCAGTATTTATTATATACATTGCTTGGCGACGTACTATATTCCAGAAAGAAAGTAACTGTGCAAAATTTATGCGAGCAAGGCTCACTATTATATGTATTTGTACATGACATTCATTAAAATATAATACATATAACATGTAAGAAAGCGTGATATCGAAAATTGTCACCCGTAGAAAACCAACATTAAATTTTTTCATCCCTCAAAAACCATTGTCAACATCGGCTGTGCCTCTGTTAACAATGTTTTTTTACGGATGACAGTTTTCAATTTTACTCATGCAATATTCATATACTGTTATTTTTTATAAGTTCAGAATAAATATAAAAACCACGAAAGCAATTGATTAGAATGTGGCAAAATATTTCTGTAACGATATTGATTTGGAAAGCTAAAATTTGTATAGAAAAATTTATTTTTGAAAAAAAAACTCATATGCATATATTCTTTACATATGTACGTTCGTTTTAACTAGTCTATGAACGCCCAAATTAAAGAATTACCTTTTAAATCCATTGTCTATTGGAAGTTTGCACAGAAATCCCTTTGCTTGAAAGCAATAATGACATCTGTACATGGTTTTACTGATGAATGACAAATAGCAGAATTAGGAGGACCTATAAAAAGAATATCATCCAATATTTGCAGTATATTAGGTACCCCAAATTTGCTACAAGCAATCCATTGTAATGCCGTGCTAAATGACTCAAAAATAGAGCACGTTATAGAACACCCATAGGAAGGCACTTATCATAAAAAAAGACCACTTGAACTGAATTCTTAACAACTCATAATCTTGTACTGAATTCTTAACAACTCATAATCATTCTGGTGAACTAGTGAAATTTTATTTCAGAATGCTGGGCTGGTACCTTTGGTGATGGTTGTACAGAGACCTGCCCTCCAAATAAGTATGGAATATTTTGCGTAGAGGATTGCAACTGCACAGCCTTTGAAATATGCGATGGGGCAAAAGGGTGTATAAATGCTGGCAGAAGGACTTCTAAACCGTTTGAAGTTGATGTTTCTTTCACATCATTCAGTAAGAGTCATGCTAAAAAATATTCACATTCGTCCTATATATGTGCAAAATATTTTATGATTTTTTTTTATCATGATTTATAATTTTTTTTTCTTCAAAATCTTCTCTTTACAGGACACACCACAGAAGGGAACACAGTCACGTATTCCTCTCAACAGTTTAATATATTGTATGTATGGATACCAATAACTGGTGTTCTTTTTCTTGCTATTGTCTCCTGTGGAGTGATCGGATGGACTAGATATTATAAAATAAGGTATATAAAATCGGACCGTTGGTTTTTAAGTAATTAATCTAGAAATAATTGAAGTCTTACATTATATTTTTAATCCACATCATTTCAATTAGGAGTCTTAATGGTAAAGGTTTGTTAAAACTTCTGTTAGAAGCAACTTGGTATTTCTACAGCCAGAAACAAAAATCTATTTTGAATGCGTACCAACCATTTTTGTGACCATGATTGTACAGACTCAACAGTACTACACAACTTTGAAACAGAGTTGTTGGACAGCGATTTTGATTTGCATACTGTATATGTGTACATGTATATGTATGAAGTAAGCAAACCGTTTTGTGTCGTGTCCCTAATATGTTAGAATACACATCTAACATTTATTACCCCCCCCCCCAAAAAAAAAGAAAAGAAAAGAAAAGAAAAAAGAAACAAAAAGAATAATTATGTTTTGTTTTTATATTCTATCCTCTTGAATTCATTTTTTATTTAATTTTAGACAAAGACACAGTAATCAAGGTCCTTATTCTCAACCTTTACCACGTGACGTAGAATTAATTTCTGTACCAGAACAAGAACGATATGAACAGCTAATGGATAATAATCGTCCTGATTTTAAACGCATGCAAAAAATCAAAAACATTCAACAACAGATCAGAAGTGAGGAGGAATACCTAGAACCACTGACATCAAATGATGGCTATATTTCTATAGAAGAAGAACCTTGCGAGCCCAATGAAGACAGATATGAGAAACCCGAGGAGCAAAAACAGGATAATTATTTACAACCTGTATCAGACGGTTACACAGTTGTTACTACGGACTTACAATCAGTTGACAATTTGGAAAGCACTAAGAAGAATTACCGTATAAGTGGAAATTTCAGCGAGACGCAAATTTAGCGATTTGTCCTTAAAATTGGGTATTTTATTTTTAGCGAGAGGTAATATTAGCGATTTGAAATGCTTACTTAAGAAACTATTACAACTTGAACACAATTAAACTTTAGCGATATTCAGTTTTAGCGATCTCGACACCCTCGCTAATAATGCCAAAATTAAATTCTCGCTAAAAATTCTGCTTATACATCTATTTAGATGTAGTTTTTGAATAAATGTGAAAGAATAATTTCGTTTTGATATATTTTTCTGCTTTTCAGCATGTGGATGTACCAATATCTGTACATTTACTATGGTTTAGTAATAATTATAATAAAGAACACATATTTGACAGCTGTATAGATTTTTATTAGTTTGTCCTTGATTATTTATTTTAAAAACTGCAGCAGAGAAAATCAAAAGGCTACATATAGATTAATTTCCGATTGTCTCTTCAGTTCTAAAGATATAATAGAGTCTGATACCTAGGGTTCGAAGTCCATTGCACTACTTTTATTTTGCATTAATGTTAAAACAGGAGAGGTATATATACATAAAGAAATCGATTTTAAATTGAGGCCGTTGTTTATGCATTAAATATGACAACGAAATGTTCCGTCTACCAGATAAATTCAAAGGGTTATCATCGATCACTGACCGCTGTCTTCACCTTTTTATTATATATTTGAAAACTTTATTGGGTTTCATTATTTAATACTTTTACTTAATCAAATCTTTTAAATATATTTAAGTTTTATTCAATTTAAGAAGACGTTATTTGTAATCGCACAACCAAGCTCTTAGATAAATGTGATGACTTTCACTTTCTTTCGTTAACTTCCCTTACTTATGCAGCAATATACTTTCATCACTTGCACACGGAGTTTATTTATCTCAATTGATTCGTTACGCAAGAGCATGTACTACGTATGAACAATCTCTAAAACGAGGTAAATTATTGACAAACAAGTTGATGAATCAAGGATTTTAGCTGTTTCGTTCAAAGTAATCATTTTGTAAGTGCTATGGTCGATACAATGACCTTGTCAGCAAATACAATGTATCACTGAGTGAAATACTGACTGAAGTTTTTCATACTAATTGTTAGTCCATTATTTATACTCTTAATTGACGACGGATTTTCCCATTACTTCCCGAACATGATTAGGAGCTCACAGCTGGTGTGACCGGTCGACAGGGGATGCTCACTCCTCCATGAAACCTGATTTGACCTCTGATATTTTGGAGGTCCGTGTTTGCTCCAATTGCCCCTACAGGTATTTCCTCCTATTTTGAATTGTTTTATGGACTTTGATCTTCAATACTTTTGTTATTGAGAGAGAAAGAGAGAGATACCTCCAGATGCAGCTGCACGACTTTTGATCTCGAATACTGTTCGTTTTCTCCTTATGTTTCATTCAAAAATGTAAATAATACAAGCAATGTCAGTTTGTAACAGGCTGGAATGATTTCTTCATATACCTTTTTTATACCTTTTTTATCGTATTTAACATAAACAACATTTTTTGCTTCATTTTTTTATTGAGCCTATATTATATTAGTTCCCATATTTAATACGTATTCATTCAACCTTTTTTTTTGTATTTTTTATGATTTTACACCAGTAAATATCTAAAATAAGCCATAAGAATTCAAGAATATTTGACGATCCTAGTCCTCATAGTAATCTAAATATCATTTTTTTTTTCAAATCATAATTTTTTCCCAACTTTGGATTAACCTTCAGACCAGACCCTTTGCCCTAGGGATTGCCTGGAACAATATCCGTATCTACTATATATATTCTCAGCTTTGTTTAAGGATAATTTGCACAGTGAATCTTGAGAGGAAGACTTTTTTAGCGAACGGTACTTTCGTTTTTATATTCCAATTTTGTCCCAAATGGTTTCTTAGTGAAAACGAGAACCTGCAGTACAGTTAAGGTGCGCAATGGGAATATCGACTAAATTTTGTATTTCAAAACGTATTCACAATCGGGATGGCGATTATTTTTAGTACATTATTTATGTTGGATAATTGTAATTATGATTAATAACTTCATATCGAGGACGATTATATGTTTTATATTTAGACTAGTCACGTGATGCGGGAGTCACGCGATTTTAGCACATTGACTGTTACATATAAATATCACCAGTGCAAGGGCATAACCAAGTTAAATTTCCAAGTTTAGTTTATACATATTTTCAAAAGGCATTGTAGTTTCTAAAAAGTGTTGCGATCCTGTCTAAATTTTGAAATTTCATTGTTAAAATTATTCTTGTATGACCGAATGATATATTTTTTGCTGGTCAGCGGCATGAAATATTGTAATAATTAAATTGTGTTTAAGACTTCATCAGGATCGCAGCACTTTTCAGACACCTTAATACATGTAGTTCTATAGTTGAAATGTAAAAGCTTACTTTGATCTAAAGAGTGTATGCCCTTGCACTAGATCGATGTATTAAGACGGGGTCCCCCACATTACCCTCCGATGTACTTGCATACAAATCTACGGCAGTGTCAATTAAATACGTAATGTACAGAAAATATAAATAAAATAGTGAAGAAGACATTAAATTCAACTTATTGTCCCATAGAATATCTGTAAATAATATTTTATTTAATTAGAGAATACATATTTTGTTGAGAAAATATTACTTGATCTGTCTCTCACTGCATACAAACTACGTCACGTTGTAAGAGATGACGTCATATTGACAAGTGTATTCCCCATTTTAAAAAGTGAGTTATTTCCCTGAAGGGAACTCTTTTACTGTGTTTAAAACGCTATAAATAAAGTAACTTCCGCGGACGTTCTTGATGTGTGTAATGCCTCTGTCATATAGAAAAATGTTATTGTGTTTGTGAATAAAAAGAAATCTTAACTGATTCGTATTTTCTTAAATTGCCCACTCATAGTCTCTTTCTGGATTTGTATTAATCTGTATAGTAGTATAATAAGGCACTGTGTAAGCCCCCCACCCCCCAATCCCCCTTACAAAAAACGAAACAAATTACTGATAAAATGCTGATACATATTCGAATAGGCCCATTAAAAAAAAACAAAGTAAAAGCTAATTTTCGGTAGTGGATGTTCTGCAGACGGATCATCATTATTTACAAAATGTGCAGATCAAATATAAGAATTTTTAATTATAAAGTTTTTACGAATTAATCTAGCCTGTTGCAGCCATATTTTCTTCTCTGCATCTCTGGGAACTTTTTGGAGACTGATGACATGTCCATCTACAGTTTTACCTCTGAAATTGCTGCATATACAGCTGTAGTTCGTCTTCCACGACCGATACCAAGAAACGTTTTTGCTCGATTGTATGTCATAACATAGAACTTTTACTTACAAGAACACATTTGGTGACAATTAAAGGCCTATTTCATTTGAATTAACCGTGTTTCCGGAATCTTTTATTTGTAAAATAATTGATTCACTGTACAGTATTAAAACTTTGAATGGAATTCTAAATGAATAATTTAATCTCATGTGCTCATGTAACGAAGAAAGACTCATTCAAATAGCATCGACCTGAATTCGTGTTACATACATGTATGTCGTATAAAGTCTGAGCTGCATTTAATCAAAGTTTTAATGTAGGATCTAAGCATATGTACATATATATTCCTGAGTTAATTTAAATACACATTTGTTTTAGATCATAGAATTGAATTAAATGCCCCAAAAAAAGATCATAGAATTGACAGCAGAAACACGAAATTGATACAATAATTTCCTAGCGTATTGCTCGTTAATTAACAGAAAACACTCTTTTCTCAAGTGTTATTTATGTTTTTAAAATCCTTTCAGTGTAAGTACATGTATTTATTTTTATAAGTTATTCGATTTTTTTTTTTTTTTTTGCAAAGTGTGTAGAAAACAATATCAGAGAGAGAGAGAGAGAGAGAGAGAGAGAGAGAGAGAGAGAGAGAGAGAGAGAAAAAACTCCGTGTAACTGACATACATGTACATTTTAAAAAAATATATGTACCCTAATTTTATTGAATTCACAATTAAAATTCTAATAATTTTTAATTTTCACAACTATGGTTCATATTAAACTGTTCAACCCATTTACATATTCTCTGTACCTGTACACATGGAGGGGGGGGGGGGGGGTCAAGGGGTTTAGCAAAACCCCCACTTTTTTCCCAATATTACTTTTTCTATTGAAAATGTTCATTGATAGACAAGTTGCCACCCCCCCCCCCCCCACACACACACACAGTTTATATACGGTAAAGTTTATAAGGGGAAAAGGTTTTATCCAAGGTACTGGTCTGAAATAAGACTTTTTTAACTTTGGGGAAGGTTTTTTTGTTCCAAATTTTTTAGGTAAAAAAAAAAATTTTTTTTAACCCCCCCCCCAAAAAATGCTAGCTCTCCTGGGTTTTATATTTTCTGAAGGGGGGGGCCCAAAACCCTTTATAAAATAATTTATTATTAAAAAAAAAGCAAACCTTTTTCTTTTGAAATTTTTAAATACAGCGTGTAAGTTATACTATTTTGTTAGATTATCGTAACATGTAGTCCGCGGAAGTTTGCTAGTGTTGAAGAGTTCCGATTTTAGGGGGGATAATCCTTTTGAAAATGGGGAAATTAAATTATATGGGGGCAATGATCAAATTATTGAGATATATTGTCTAATGGTTTTTTAATATTTTAATTTTATTTTAGCATTCAATTATTTGAAATAATTTATGAGCTTTAACACATATAATATTTGCAAAATGATGTTGAAAAAACATTTTAAACCCTTTTCTTCGTGATTATTATTGAAGAAATCAAAATTTTTGACAAAAATGAAAAATTAAAAATTTAGTCCGAATTTCCTCTGCATTACCATACATTGACTTTTGTACCTGTATATTTTCTTTAAATAATAAAATATTAAATTTTTAAATTGATTTCGATTTAAAACTTGCTTATTTTATCCATTTAGAACAATTTTTGATTTAACATATTATATTTAA